TAGGCATGCTAGATTATTACTTTTGAGTGATCTTCAACAATAATAATTTCCACATCATATACAGAATATTCATTAAGTTCTTGACAGTTTTAAGCACTGCATATACATTACTTGAATGCTTAAAACAAAGCCATGAGTTAAGTATTATTTTCCTTATAGGAACCTGAATCACTGAAAGAACATGTAATTTGCCTGACATCATATGGCTTAAAAGTGATAGATTCATGACAATTTGGCTCCCAATAACTTTCCTAATACACTGATTTCATATTTATTATGTGTCAGAAAAAGATATTACAGAAAAATAAGTAAAATTTGGCTATTAACACACACATTCTTTATTTGAAGAGTTACCTATATGTAAAGCATTTGCAATTATGAATCTTGATAATTCAAAATTACAAATTCACAAAACAAATTCTATAAAATCTATAGTTCAGAGAGTAGCCCATAAAATATATCCAATGTGCAAGCTATGTAAAACTATACAAAATTTAAGGATTGGGCTGGGGATTTAGCCCACCTGCCTTGCAAGTGCAAGGACCCTGGTTCAATCCCTGGTACCAATAAATAAAATAAAAATTTAAGGATTACTATTACTAGCCTGAAGTTTCAGTAAACTTTAAGAAAAAAAAGTAAAATGGTAAAATAAAAAACACACAATATCTATACTGTTCCTTGTTATAAAAATTACAAAATTACAGTTAAGTAAATAATTTTAAAACAATTAAATACAACTTATTCCCATTAATAATTCCCAATTAAGTAATCATATTACATCAATAATCACAACTCCAAAATTTACCAAAAATAGGCAGTGTAAACTTGCTCAGCTCCTTTCAATAGAGAAGCAATAATTTGTACAAACATTTATCTCCTTTGATCAGAAATCCCATTTAAGATTAGTATCCTACAGAAACAATTCAAAAGAACAAAAGCATAATATGCATAAAGATTCAATGTTAAAATAGACAACATTTAAAAAATTTTCCTTTTTGGCACTTAAAATTGAGGAAATTTAAAAAGTGATTTGGTAAGCTCACATAACTGAAATATCATCAAACTTATAGAACAGGAAAATACAATGCTAGACAAGTAAAATAAAAATTTTGTTATAAATTCTATAAAAGCAATAGTGAATATGCACAAATAAGGAAACAAATATAATGAAAACAATTACTTGTTAGTATGGCGAAACTGGAGTTTTTTGTACCACGGATTGAATTCAGAACCTTGCGTATGCAAGGCAGGTGGCGGCACCACTGAGTTAAATCCCCAAATGGAGTTGTTTTTTAACAAGTGTTCAGTAAATAAGAGAACAATCTAGCCTAAACAGTAAAATTTTAAAAATATAAAGCTATAAAATTAGAAAAACAAAGTTATAAAATTAGAATGTGAAAGTTTAGGTTCCATTAGGAAAACTAAAAAGACTGAAATACTTAAAAATTTAAGATTATAGATGAAGGTAACCATATACTACCAAAATAATCAAAGTCCATTTGGCATTTTGTCTGCTTTTGATTTTTTTTTTTTTTTTTTTTTTTAACAGGCCAGCCTTAAATGCACTATGCAACCCAGGCTGGCCTCGAACTCAGTGATCCTCTGCCTCTGACTCCCATAGTGTTTTGTTATTTATAATTATTTTGTAATTGTTCCAATCTTGTTGCAACTTTGTAGTAAGTCACCATTGCATTCCAGGTGTTTATTCCTTGGGTATTAAGGCCAAAAAACTCCAAACAAAGCAGACACACACACAAACACACACACACACACACACACACACACACACACACACACACGGTTGAAAAGGAATATCTTTGCTAAGACACAGAATGCAGGCTGAGGGGAATAGCCTCAAAAGCATTTTTTTTCCTTCTTGATAAAAAACAAAAAGTCACTACTATTGCCAAAATGCCAAGAAGAAAACAAGCATCACTAAATCTACTTTAAAATGAAAATGAATGTAGCAGTTGAAAGTTGTAAACAAAAACAAGTCATATAATATGCATGTATTATAATTATATATTTAATATATTTATAATATAAAATAATTATAATTATTGATGGCCTTAAAGATTCATAAACTACCTTCAGTTTTACACAATTATACCTTACTATAACTTTTAACATTGAGAACTAGAACAAAGGAAATGAAATGTTTTGTGATGTTTTTCCCATAGATATAAATACATGACTACTACCACTACTTCTTCACTATTAAAAATTACATTCTTAGACAAGCGCTTTTCCTCAAGAATAGGTATGAGCTTAAGATAAACACAGAAATTTTAAATTAAGCTACTGACTATAACAATGAAAAGTGGTTTCTTCTAGGATACATTTTAATATACAGAATAGTATAATAAGTTCTATATTAATTTTTAAAAGTCAGTTGAATATGAAATTATTTATTTATGAATGAATGAATAATACTGAGGACTGAACCCCGGAGTGCTGAGCTACATACCCAGCCCTTTAAGTTTTTGACAGAGGGTCTTGCTAAATTGCCCAAGCTGGTTTCAAACTTAAGATCCTCCTGCCCTATTCTTTAAAGTAGCTGGGGTCACCTAACCTATTCACTGGGTTTTAAACAAGGGAGATTCTGGTAAAAACTTGGTCTTAAATCAACTAAAGATATTTCAGTAACAACAAAGATAAATATCAGTTTATACACATATTGCATATTAGAAGAGCTTGAGGACAAAATGAATGGAAACACCATGTTGTGGTGAGACTGTGCACCTGACTTAGAAATTTACTAGTAGATGACATACGAATCATTAAAGATAAGATTTTCAAAAACAATGAGGTAGAAAAAACTTAGCTGCTATCTGAAGACTTAGTGCTAGTTCTATACAGCAGATGTTTGGACAGAGTTATCACTTTTAAATACACATACAGCTTCCAAATCCTGAATACCAATAAAACACATCCCCTTCCACAGAATAACGAGCCAAATACAAAATAAACATTTTAATAAGGTATTCTATTTAAAAAAATTTTTTGTGGTACTGAGGATTGAACCCAAGATCTTTGCATTGAACTACATCCTCAGCTCTCAACCTCTTTTATCTCAAGACAAGGTCTCACTAAGTTGCCCTGGCTTATCCCTCTGCCTCAGATTCCCAGAGTGCAGGGGATTACAAGAATGTGCTACCACTCTGCTAAAAAGGTACATATTTTAAAAAGGACCACCAGGAGTGCAATCATATGTACAGAAGGTATTACATACCTTAAAACACACTGACAAAAAGTCCCAAAAAGTTCCTTCCTGACAAAACACAAAACACTTAAGTTCTAAATTACTGCAACATTTTAAAATAATTTTTAACAACTTAATGACAGTAGCACCCTCAAAGCAAGATTAAAGATGTCTCAGGAAGTAGCATCCACATTACTTGGAAATCTGGAAGATTCTTAGGAATTTTCAGAAAAATTAAAATGCTTTACTAGTAATTAAAAGATCCATGAAATATCTTAATTCTTGACCTGCAGATGGTATCATTTTTAAACATACTTTACCAAAGATGTTTTTATAGTTCTGAAAAAGAGCTGAAATGAAACAAATTTAAATACAAAATAAAATGGCTAGCTGGGCATGGTGGTGTATGTCTAATCCTAACACAGAGAGGCTGAGGCAGGAGGATCTAGAGTTCAAGACCAGCCTGGGCTACATGTTGAGAACTTGTCTCAAATCCTACTCTACCCCAACTGCTATTGTTTGTATGTTAGGGCACTTACTCCTGTAATGTTAGCTTTTTAACAAACTTTATAAAAATGCAGTCTTACCTTCATAATCTTGGTACAACAGATCAAGTCTATCTGGCTACACAAAAGTAACAGTGGTTAAGAATTTCTTCAAATAGTACCAAAAGTAAATTCAGAGGAATAGTTAATAATCTGTTCTGATTTCAAATATGTACATTACATGTATATGCTTGTAGCTGTCTCAATTTATAATCCTGAAGAAATCAGAACTGAAACAATGTACTTTACGGATTAGTCAAGAGGCCCAAGGTGAATCAAAAATAATCCCTTTTACTCCATCATAATCAGGTAGTTTAGCTCGTGGCCTTGACAGTTTTAAGACTCCCCATTAGGGAAAGACAATTTTATGCTACCTAGGGGCACAAAAATAGTCCCCAGTTCCTCCTCCTCCTAGGTTCAGTGCAAGGATCCAGCACAGAAAACACACACGTACACTCTCTCCCAGCCCTGCTCTCTAGGACACTGATAAAGGGCAGAAATTACCTCCCTACAGAAGCTCTGCAGTCCATTCAGGTTAAAAAAAAATTGGGGAAAAATACCAGAATCACTATGCACCCACATCTCAGCCCCGCCCCACCTAGAAGAAAAGTGGGGGTGGCGGGAGTATGAGGATGGCAGGACAGAAAGACCGAGACCTCTAGCTGCCACGTTCTCCATTATTCGTTCCATCAGGTTCCACCGAAGTCAGGGACCCTGACCCTATCTCCTGTCGTGCTTCCCAATCCCTCCTCCCAGCCATCATCACAAACACACGGTCTCCACCGCGGGAGTCCTAGGTGCTGGAAATCATTGTGGCCCCTTTCCTGCCCATCCAAGGACTGGGGTGGGGGACAGGGGTCGCCCCGAGTGCCGGGCGGATCGGACGTGCGCCCCGGAAACCTCTGAGGTGACTACAAGGGGTTTTGACAAATCGGAGGGAGGGGTCTAAGAGGGGCCGTTATTCCTTTTTCCTTTTCGTTAGGAATGCGCGCGAGAGGGAGGGGCCGGAACAACGGACGCGTTACCTAACGGTCCCGCCCGGCCGGTCAGGCTCCAGAGGCCAAGCAGCGCGCGCCCCTGAGGGGGCGGCACAACCACTATCGCCCGGAGGGCTCGGGACCTTGGCAAGAGCGCCCGAGGGGATGGGAAGCGGGGGGTGGGGACTACGGTGAAGCGGCGTCGCCATGTTAGCGCCTTCTTTCTCAGTATCCCTATGGTCTCCGTCCAGTGGCGCTCTCGCCATCCCTACTTACCTGTCCAGGTCACTAATTCATGATCCTCTCGGTCACCCGGGAGCCCCGAGCAGAGCCGTGTTTACAAACTAGCCCCAGAGGAAAAGGCTGAACCGCACTTTAAAGGCCACAGGCTCCCACAGGCTTCCGTCTTCTCTCGCGAGATCGGACTGACAAGCCTTCTCCCCGCCCCTCTCCCGGCATCCCCCTTTCTCCTCGCGCCCTTCCCATCCACACACGCCCCTTCTCGCCTCCTTCGGAGCGAGCGCCTCCGGGTCAGGTGATTCCGTCAGACTTCAAGCAGAGGGCGGGCCTTAGGAAGGCGGGGATTAAGAGGGCGGGCACTAAGGAACACTGGAGGGCTGATGATCGGATGAAAAGCCTGAAGGGCGGGAAGCAGTGCTGGAGGGGGCGGGCCCGGGCCGAAGGAGGCGGGTCTGGGTCTCCAGCGAGCCGCTGAAAGCCGAGATTGGCAGCCAGCTGGCGCCTGGGTGCTGGAGCAGGTAGAGGACGCGGGAGGGAGTTGGCGGGGAGGTGACGAAAGGTGAGCTCTGAGGAACTGCAAGGAGCTGCAGTGAAAGCAGGGAGCGACTTTCTAGCCCAGCTTCAAGAGTACGATATTTCCGTTGCTGTCACTTCCCGGCCCTCACTAGGGATGTGGGTGAGGTGTAGTCAGGCGCGCTCCTAAACCCTCCCTCTCGCTCTCCGGAAGCCAGAAAAGGGCGTTTCGGATAAGCTAAGGTTTGGACAAGGTGGGGTTCGACGGTAACTGCCCCACACAGACACACAGTACACACGCGACCCGGGAAAAGGAAGCCAAATCATTTCTGAATAGAAAAAGAAAAGCCTTTACTCTGCTTGCACCCCTCCCAATTTTACGAAGCTAAAACTGGAACTGAATTTTCATTTTTCTTTTTCCCAGCACCACGTAGTATGATATTAGCATGATTATGTTCGAAGGAATTTACCCAAAGCAAATGTGGTATCTTCCAGTACAGCACCGCAGTTTAAAATAATGCCATGACTTGTTTCTATGAGGAAATCTTCTATCATGGAGTGTTCTACAATATCGGTTTTCCTTTACTTATACATTAAACAATCTCAATATGGCATAGAAATAGACCTCTTCCCATAATACTATCCTGCTTAGGTTGTCTACAATGCAAAAAAAGGCCTGCCAAGTTTGAAAATAACATTTTTAAAACAAGGGGAAGGACGGTGCAAGAAGAAAGATTACTTAATTACTGTAACATGAGGACAGAAAGAGGCCACCTTCACAGCTCAACATTTAACACAAGGACCCTCCTAAAAATAAAGACAGGCAGAGCTGAAAATATTTCCATGTTAACTGTGGGGATATTGGGTGTTCAGTAATTGGCTCAAGATGAAAAATACATCAATGATTCTGTGAAAATTTGCATTAATTATTCAGAAAACTGAGGCAGGAGGATCTCCAGGAGTTTGAAATTAGCCTGGGCTACAAAATGAGTTTAAAGGACAGCCTGAGCTACCTTGTCTCAAAAAACCCATCAAATAAAAACCAAGTTTTTTTTCAGTGCCTTTGTTTTTCAATTTATTAAATGATGATATCTAGTCTATAATAAAATTAAGAATAAATATTCACATAAAACACTCTTCAAAGTGAAACTGAAATTGTTGGAAGATTGTGGGGAATACTATTTGAGAGTTAATGAACTTGAAATTCAATAATCATCTCTGGCATGAAAGTGAAATTGTAATGGCATTGGACCTTTTAATAGGTTTCTGGCCAGTATACATATACGTGTGCCAACTCAATCTTCTTTTAAAACCAATTTTAATTAATTGAGAACGCTGAAAGAAGCCAAATTAACACCGTTTAGTTCTTAAATTAAAATGGAAGTACCAGCCTATAAGAAACATTGCAGTAGTGTTAGTGTAGTGCAGCACTAATTATATCAAAACCTCAGCTGCTCAGACTACTGATGGTGAAAATGATACACAAGAACATGTAAATTGTTAAGCCCAGAAAACATTCAGTAAAATGTCTCTCCTTCCATCTAACAATATATAATGTGAGAAAAAACAATAAATATTAATGTACTTCAAAGGTACTTTGAGTCAATTAGAGAATTTTAAAAAACAATTACTTTTCATTCATATATATTAAAAAATATAATTTTTTTTCCAGTTTCAACTGACAGTACCATTTATATTAAAATCTTCTTTCCCAGTCCTACTTCTCCAGTCTGTTATCAAGTAGTCAATTACCTACACTATGCATTAGAGAAATGTTATTTTAAAATGTCTTTGAGTTATTTTAAAGATTAGTAATGTGAATAGTATTTTGATATGTTTTAAAATTTGGGTTTCAGTAACTTTTAAGGATAAGGCATGCCTCAAGTGAGAAAAAAAGCGATGGTGGGGAGGGGAACAGATGCAAACCATGTAAGTCTGTTTTTTAAGCATGTGCAGCCTCAAGAACATAGAGACACACTTTACATAACTAGTTCCATAACAGTTTCTTTACTATAGATTTTCTATAAATGGACCCCCTCTTCTCCCTACTGCTCTTTCCAGTAACATTTTTATCTTAGTCATCATCTCTCAGATCAATTTGTCAATTGAATGCTCTATCTCCACTCATAAAATTGTTGAATGTGCATATTTCAGGCACTGCCCCTGGCTCTAAGGCTACAACTCTAAATAAGACAGAGTCCCTTAAGGAGACTTTTATGGCGGGGGACAGTGTACACTAAATATATAGCGACGATAATTTCAACAGAATTAAGTACAATGGTGGAAATAGAGCAGGGTTGTGACAACCTGGAATATTACAAGCTTGGTCTTTCTATACAACTTCAGAGAATGGGGAACTTCTGTGAGTTGTCCTTTAGATACAAGCTTCGAGAGACCTGAGTTGTCTAGCAACTGACCCAATCAACTACTATACAGTGGACCCTTGACTTACAAACTTGATTGGTTCCCAAGGGTGGGTTGTAACCCAAGTTGCTTCTAAGTCATACAGCTGAGATCTGGATATTTACCTGGCTACACCCTAGAGGAAACAATAGGCAAATGAATCTCCCATTAACCTAATTAACTCAAGTTGTTCATATGTCAGGCTGGCCGTAACTTGAGGGTTCACTGTAGCTATTTGAGAAAGCAAACCTTGGGACTCAGCTATAAGAGGGAGATCCTGGAATCTCCATGGCTGTAAAGTGGTAGCAACCACTACCAATAACTATAGGTCCTGTTGGGAGTCTGCCCGAGATCAGTTGTAGGATGCTAGCTCATGCTAACAGAAGGAACCACCAAAAGCTCTTGGATTTGAGTCCTTGCTGATCTTAGGTCAATTCCTCTTTTCAGTAGTGAAGCTCCCTTGAGAAAAAAGTATCTTACTTATAAAACATCTCAGGGGAGACATTACTTAAGTCACTCAGGAGATTTAAAAAAGAAAAAGGTAGGTCAATTTTTAGCATAAACAGACTGGTAAGTTGAAAGAATGTGACCTAGGGAGAGAGGGTGATCCCCAGTTTATGAAACTGACAACTGAATAGTTGTACGTGAAATGGCACATATATTAGAATCGGTGTTCTCACTAACAGATTAGACCAGAGGTTCTCAAATTTTTTGGTACTCAGACCCTGGACTCTGTAACAGCACATTTAACAAAATGCAAATAAAGCAAACAAAACAAAACAAAACCCTGTATTTTCCAAAACAAAAAAATAGGATAGCACTTTTTATTTTTATATATTGTGCCATGCTTAATAGAAGACAACTGCATTCTTGTATCTGCTTCTATGTATGATCTATTTTAAAGCCTTTAAGGAAAAATCTAATATCACAGCTAAATATATAGAAACAGTAGCCTCATGAACCCAGAGAAAAGGTCTTGAGGCCCCCAGAACTCATCAATGACCATACTACAATGACCACACTTTGAGAATCACTGGGTTAGCAGTACATTCTGGTTTGTGGATGGGAAGGGAGAGAGTATCTCCCAATGAATTGGGATAGAATTTTAAAAGTTAAGAAGTGTGAGCTGCGGCATCCTGGGAATTAAGAGTATTCTAGTACAATGCTTCTCAAAGTTTAATATGTACACAAATCACCTAAGATCCCTGCCCCTGAAATGCAAGTTTTGATCTAGCAGATGCTGAGTGGGGCTCCAGACCTTGCATTTTCAGCCAGCTGTCAGGTGGTGTCAGTGCTGCTGACCCAGACCTCACTGACTAGCAACGTCTAGTATATTATGAAATACGTCCACGTGCAAGGGAATGTGTCTGTGTGTGTATGTGTATGGGAGGGGTGAGAGGGATTAGAATGGGTGAGAAAAGACAGGAGTATAAATAAACTCATACTACCTACTTTTTAAAGTACATGAAATCAATGCACTAAAAAAATCCCTTTCTATGACAAGTTTTGGCTATTATAACTATCTACATCAAAGCAAGCTAAGGCATAGTGTTGGCAGAGACAATCCAACTACCGTATTTGTTGAGGCAGAAGAGAATGGTATTGGATCTGGAAAAAAAATTTTTTTTGTCTTTAATAATCTAGAGTTGGGAAAGTAACTGATGGACCATGTGCTTGGCTCTTATGTCCATGACTTTATTTGTAGAATAATACCATGACATTATTAAACTGATAAGGTATTAAGAATTCAACAATTTCTTTGTAGTTTCATATGTAGAAATCATATATTTTACAAGGCTTTTAGATAGCACCATAACAATACAAATTTTCTTCTGCCAAACACCTAACACCCAAACCAAATCATACTGGCTAAACTTATTTAACAGAACTTAAAACTTGCAGCAAAATTATGAGTATAGTTTATTTGGTTCTCAAGTGGTATTTCCCATTTGCATATAATCCTTCAACAGTAACTACAATGACATTTATTTTTACCCACTTTAGGTCACTTAGCAACTTGACCACAAAGTTTGATCGTTCCTTGAACTCACCTGATTTCTAAGTCTTTGAATTTTGAAGCTGTTTATATTTCTGATTATTTTTAGCTCTTACTGAAATAGATCAACCTAAGACCACTGGGCACTTGAACCCTTTCTTCTATTCCAATTTATCTGCTTTGTGTCTTCACTTGTTCCTGTTTGGGGTTCTTAAATTATCCTGAACAATAATATACCTGTTTGTTTTCTGCTTACAGCCCTCTTGACCTTCTATTGTTTCTTTTTGTCAGTG